GTGTGTGTGTGTGTGTGTGTGTGTGTGCATGCGTGCGCGCACGCTGCTGTGTTGCGCAACCGGCTCATCCATCCATTCTGAGTCTGAAAATATTAACTTTGCGCACGAGTTTATTACCATAATTACTGTAAACACAGAGGAACTTAAACATTTGGTAGAACATAGATCTTTGTTTATTTCATAGCTGATATTAAGAAACGAGTCTCTGCGTCTCAGTAGAGTTCACATGACGTGACRTGATGTTGGAGAGTCTCCACAAACGCTACACGCTGCAGCCTTTGTGTGCAGTCTGTTTGTCTGTCAAACTTTGGCTCTCCTATGGAACCAAAACCACAGAAACGTGCGTACACCAGCCCTGGAGTTGGCGTGGGGCTGCGCACATTTCCACATTCAGTTGAGTTTTGATACATCCCGAGTTTTGCGTGGATAAAGACGTACGCAAGGTTTTTGTGCGTACGCACCGTTGATACATGAGGCTCCAGGTGTTGGGAGTGCTTTCATATGGAGCCAGTTAAGGGGCAGGTGGTGTTTTTCTAAAAAATAAGACCACCACAGCAGCAGACATTTTTGACCTGCATGAGTGCGCCATGAGGTATTTCTGTGGTTATGGGGCTGAGTTGGGTCTAGACTCACCTACTTTGTGCCTTTCTATCAATTTGCTCATGCTGAATTGTCTTTATTTACTCACCTTGAGCTGGTTCTAAATGCTGCTGACACCTTTCAATAGGTACCAGAAAACARGAGCACATTGTCCTGCTTTAGCTTTACTGCACTGGCTTCCAGTTTTTAAATATCTTTGTGGTCTAACCCCGTGATGAGTTTCCAACCTCCTCCAACTGTATGTTTTTGCCAAACCCAAAATTCTGGAATGAGTGACATTTTTCACATCAGGCAGACTGACTTCAATTCTGCTCTTAAATCATTTATGTGTTTGTGTTTTGAATTCTTGTGTATGACTGTTTTGTTGGCTTGCAGTCCCCAAGAGCTTTTTACTAAATGGAAAAATTTAATGTGTTTCCTTTATTTTCACCAAAGTCAGACAATGTGAACAACAGAAGACATTCTACATCTGTTGTTTAAATTTCGTTTTTGATACTAATGATAAAAACATTTCTGTAAGTCAGCAAATACATMGACCAGATTTACTCATACAACACTGTCCTCTAGTGGTCAGAAAATAATAACACTCCACTCAGTCTAGACAAGTTACTTGATGACTTACTACTACTGTACTTCGTGAATAACTCCAATTTTATTTTTTAAACTAAGTTAAACTGAATGATCAACTTTATTAAATACTGTGGAGGGCTTGAAAAGGTGTAATGTATCCATCAGAGGCTGGCTTTGTTAAAAAAAAAAACATTGAGGAAATAGTTAGCCATATCAGGGTAAAAACATAATAAAAATCAACTCCACAATCTACTAACAATGTTTAAAGTACTTTATTTAGGCACAGAAGAAGAGGTTCACAACATTTATAAACAAACTATTTGAATTCTTGAATTTTTCCACCAACTTATACAAACTGCCTTAACATGGCTTCATCTGAAACTTGATTGATTGATTGATTGATTGATTGATTGATTGATTGATTGATTGATTGATTGATTGATTGATTGATTGATTGATTGATTGATTTGATTAGATTAATTTGATTAATTTGATTTAGCAGTAATATTGCATGTACATACACATCTAGTACATTCATTATTAGTACTTGGATAACACAAGAAAGTGAGAAACACTTRTTTCCAATATGGTCCAGCTTTATCCAAATTTTAGATTRAATTGAAAATAATTCTCCTACATGTAGGTTTTATCTGTGCTTTCTTTCTCCTAATGTGGTGTTTGACACAACAATATTATAATACTATATTATCATCTTTTCTGACAAAATCAAATCCAAAAAACAAAGCTTTTTTGCCTGAAGTAACATTTTGCATAATGTTGACCATATAACTTAGTGAAATTAAAAACTGTTGTTTATAAATACTATACAAATGCAAGGAATGAACATAATGCTTATTCTAAATTAGGTTAAAGGTAATAACATTTTGATTTGAAACTTTGAAATACACATTCACTTTTGATTTTATCTCATAATGAATTTATTTTTTCATAACATAAAAATGCTATCTGGTTCTGTTAGCAAAATATTTTCAATCAACACATTTTTTAAGTGATAGCATAAAGTGTTAAAGTTTAAATTACCTTTGACCTTTAAACAGCTTCTGTTTGGAGAAATAGTTTAATTCTGACCTCGTGGACCAAACCCCAAACCAGAGTGGATTACTGCYGTCTTTAAACAATTTCAGTCTCTAAAATTTCATTGATTATGTTTATACGAACTTTGCATTTAGTCATACACTGAAGTTAATGTGTATTTGTTTATGAAAATAGCAGCAGCTAGCTGCAGCAGTTCAGGTGCTGTTTCTGCAGGAAAAACTGTAATTTCATTTTGATAGTGATGTTTCAAAAATTTCAAACGTAAGTGCAGGAGGAAGTTTTATGTTAAAGAGTGGTCGTGAAGCATTAAGTAAAAATAGTTTTACTCAAAATGAAAGAAGTTAGATTTAGATACATTTAGTGACTTTAAAAAATAAATTACAAATTTTCCTACTGTGAAACTGATTTCCTCTAACCTGAATATGTAGCAT